ATTAATTAATTCACGCAGGGGCCGAAGCTGTAGTGGCCGCAAAAGTAAACTGGTAGAGGACCGATACATAGTCCTATTCCCTTGTCACGTTATCAGAGAACAAGAACCGAAACACAAAGAACCAGAAGCAAAAACAACACCAAAAACAAACACAAACAAAAACAACCCACACAAAACCCAAACAAACACACAACCACAAAGCAGTGACGTGACGGGTACCAGTTTATGGGTGAAAAAGATCAGTTGAGGCAAGAGGTGATAGCTTAGTATCATCTCGGCGCATGCAAATGACAACTTATGTGTCATGTTGACGCAGGCCCATAAAACAAAACAACAACAGGAAAAACCACAAAATCACCATGGGCCACTTCAACGGGTGCAGGAAGCAACAAAGCTCAATGCGGAAACCAGGGATCCCCCCAGCCAGGATCCCCGAGATCACAAAGAGCAGCCTTCACGGCATGACATTCACCCTGACACTTGAAGCAAACACCGACAAAGCCGGGTCGCAACGAAGTGGTGAGAAAAACTACCGCAGTGAAACAGGAGAGTGAAACATGATCTAAGGTGAAAAAGACGGCGCGGTAACAGCACTCAGGTACTCTCAGAGTCCGCTCAGAACAGCTTTTCCAATCATCATACTGCATCAAACTTGCGGTTGCGGTAGGCACCACTGTGCTAGTGCTCTTGCAATTTAGTGGTCAGGGTTGGTCACTTTTCCTGAACCTGCCACGGGCCGGTGGCCTCGTTATGGACACTTGCGAGGAATCCTTGACGGCTTCCAAGGGAGACAACCCAATTTTTCATAAGTGGGCCCGGCCCGCCTATGAACATCAAGCCCTGCCAACACTCAGCCTCCTCCCAGGCGAGGTGGTGATTGAAGTGTTACCAGGAGACAAGATCTACTGGGCCATGGAAATTGAGCCGGGTTTTATGAGGCTTGCTATCCTTCATGGTTTTGGAACTAGGGCCAAGCAGCGGCTGCCATCGCGACTTGAGGAGCTGGCGCAACTTGGTTGGTTACTACTACTAGCAGCTGCGCTGTTTTGGACAGCGGAGTGGCAGCCACAGTGGCTCCACCATAATTTTCTCCCTGTCATCGGCCTGCGTGTCCATGCGAAGATCCCACCGTCCCCGCTCTCGTATCAGCAAACAGTGGCTTTGCTTGGTCTGTGGGAACGAAGACACGCAATTGGAACCCAGTGTCGGGCCCTTGCCCAGGCGGCTGAGCTCACATTTGGCCTTCCAACTGCTTTCCGTGCACCAGAGGACTGGAAAATAGAACTGAAAGGGGAAGTATTTGATCTTGTGCAGTGTTCCCAGCGGATCTATACGGGTGAGGCAGCCAATATTTCACAAGCTTCGCAAGCTGGTTTTGACCGGCCAAAAAAATGGGCACAATGGGTTTTTTCGATGGGCAATGTTTGGCAAGAGGATTCTCCCATGCCGGATCGACCCCTCATAGTGCATTGCAGTGGATTGGGAGGCAGGCTACAAAGCCCTGACCATGAGTACGACATTTTTCTTTCAGAATCACGCGCAACTGAAAGTGTATGGCCCCTCGCTTGCCATGACAGATGATTGGGAGCAGCGCATCACTCAACTCGGGTTGACCAAAACCACTGAGTATGCAATCTACCAGCTGTTCTCCACTGCACTTGGATGGGGTGCATGGATGGCATTTTTGCCGGATAGATTTGCCAACCGAAAGCTTTTGATCACCCGTGCCATACGCTTGTTGACTGCGGCCACCATCCGGCCAGCACATGCAAGGCCACCCCATCCCACCTGGGTCAATGCAGTTCGCCAAATTTTCAGATGTTATCACCCACAGGGCAAATTGCTGTTTTTGCGATCCTGTTTTTCTCAGTATGTGACGGCATCCATCCCAGAAGGAATTACCCTGAGCATCGATAATTGATCCTATTCAATTAGATTTTGACCTTATTGAACCCAGCTTTTTTTCAATATATTTAATTGAAGTTATTGAAATTGGCTTCAATTAGAACACCCATGGTTTCTCACTTCAAAATCAAATAGAGATTTAAGGTTTAGAAGGGCGAACAAATCAATTTGAAAGTCAATTAGAAAATCAATAAGAAAATCAATTAGAAATTCAATTAGGAAATCAGTTAGGTAACCAGGATACCATACACCACCACCCCCAGAAGCGACATTTTTACTGAATGCATGCTGCATGTGTCTTTGGGTGAAACTTTGTGGCTTATCCTTTAACCAAGGATTTATGAAAGCAGCTTTATGCCAGCAATCCTTGCAAGCCAGGGTCGATGGTCAGAACAATGATTGATCTGATGGCCCAAGGGTTGCATGCTTAATTTGATGAGTTGAAAACTGACCAAGAGCAGCAGTCTCTGAACCCTTTCATCAAGGGTTGCATGTTTCAGCTTTTCTCAAGCTGTGTGGTGGCATTCTAAGGGTCATCTTGAAAGCTGACAAGCCCAAACCCCAGCCTCACCAGCTGCAAATGCAAAAGGATTCGGTATTTGGCATTGATCTTTTGGCTCATCTTGGTGCTTTTGACACCCATTGCCACACTGGCCCCTAACCGACTTATTTTCCCAACAAAGTCTTCTGCTCTAAAGTTCCAGCAATTCTTGGGGTTCAAGAATTGGCTGTCCCTCACCATGTGGTGTAGTGTGTGGTGTTTCATCACAACATGAAACAGAAGTCTGTCATTTTTCTGTGCCCAGATATTCAAGCTATCATAGTGGGCAAAAAACCTTTTCTCAAGGTTTCTGGCTTGCATGTATTCTTTGCTGCTGGGAAAAATACTAATTTTGTCAAAGAGCTGAATCAGATCCACCATGTATTGCAAGGCTGACACCATGTCCTTGTGCTGTTCCTGCTTCTTATCCAGCATGTTCTTGATAACTGGCAATAGGGCCACACAGAGGTGTTTCATCTCAGCACCTTTGCAGTCAAGCTTTGCAAACTGCTTGTGTGGCTTTGCAACATCGCAGATCATGGACAATTTGAGGTTTGTCAGTCTTGTTGGTGCAGATGACCTTTTGTAGACTTCTTGGATTTCTTCAAAAATTAAGGCCAGTCTCTCTGATGGCTTGACAGATTGGACCCCTTTGCCATCAAAGAAGGCCATGTAATGCAATATTGATCCAACTAGGTGTGCACATACACCTCTGACAAACAGGACATGAAGCCCATCATGCCTCACCATCCTAGTAGTCAGCCCTGGCACTGAGAACAAAGGATGCTTGGTTTTACCTTTTAACAAGGCTGCTTTGGTGTCCACATATATGAACCGCTGCTTCTCTTCTTTTACAATTTTGAAGCTTTTCCCCTTTTCACAAGGGGTGCCTTTACTGAATGGCTGCTTGCAGTCACAGTCCCAACATGGGCTGGCTGCATTCCAGTGTGGGAGGTGGAGGGTGTTTGAATACATTTCATGGTCCCCCTGCACTGCCCATACCACAGCCCTGTAATTTCCAGTGGTGAGAGGTAATCCTTTCAGGGCATGAAAGGGTGACCCTTTCAACAAGGGTTCATTATCTGGTCCCACCTCAGGGTGATAGCCTTTCAACAAGGCTTCCAGGCTCCATGTGACCCATTCCATTATTGGATCCCATGTGTTTTCAGTGGTGCATGCCTTGGGTATGGCTGATACCAAGAAATGGGCAGCAAGGGAATGATACTGACACAGGAGCCCACCCCAATTCCAAACTTGTAGAGAATCTCTGCTCTGGAACTCCACACCATCACAATGGATAAAGAGAGGAATTGTTTTATGCTTTTCCTGAACACAATTAGTGTATGTCCCATGCCTTTCATCAAGGCATATTGGGTGCTGGTACAGCCTGTCATCTTTCACCTTTTCAACACCTTTCCAAAAAGATTGGAGGTCCTGGGTCCCAAACAGGTTATGGAATTGATCTGGGTAATGGTGTGCCAGATCACTGAAAAGGATGTGGCAGAAAGATGCTGGCATCCTCTACCAAAACCTTGGAGGACTTTGGCTCCAGCACTGGCACCTGCACATGGATTGCAGGGGTGAGCTGGATGTCCTGGCAGTAATGGGCCATGACATCTCTATGCACATTCCCAGGAATTTCTCCCCAATGGCCAGTAGATGCTATTTGGGCCAGCTCAGGGTGGGTGGCACCATCTAGGATTGCCATGTGGGCAATTTCTTGCATGCCTTTGGCTGAGATGTGCCCATGGCTCCACATGGTGAGAAGTAATGTGCCTAAAGCACTTGGCACCTTCTGCTCCCCTTTCAACAAGGGCTCACTGCCACCTGCCTCCTTTGCCACCTCCAGCTTCCAGCCTCTGATCCTTTTTGCTGGTGGCTCCATGGATGCCACTCTTTCAACAAGAGTTGGAAGCCTGCCCTTTCAGCAAGGGTGGTAGCTCTCCAATCAGCACCTACTGCTACACCCTGCTTAGCCAAAAAAAGAAGCTGCAGGCAATGGACACATGCATGCATACATGTTTTTTTTGCAACCTAAAGCTGCCTACTTCAGGAATACACATTTATTCCTAGAGATGCTAAAGAAAACAGCAATTAAAGGAGCAAAAATTGAAACTGCACACACACACACATTTATTGAAAACAACAAGTAAAAGAACAACCCCACAAAGGAAAAACACCATTCTGACCCCCAGCTCAGCTCAGCTCAGCACATTTTTACTGCATCACAGATCCTGGCTACAAAAGCTGCTGCAGATCCTTTCAGCAAGGAATGCAAGCTTTAAAAGCTGCCATGCTGGTACAGCCTCATCCAATGTTCCAAGAATGTTCTGGGAAGTGGGTGCCCTTGGCTATGGTAAAGCTTCCCTGTCCTCAAGCACTGGCACCACCCTTTCAGCAAGGATTGGCTGAATGATCACCTGTTCGGCAAGGATTGTTTTCATGCAAAATTTCCAATAAGGATTAGCCGGATGTGGCCCTTTAAGCAAGGACTGGCTCTTCCACCATCCTTTCAACAAGGATTGGCTGAATGCAACCCTTGGTTGCAAAACAATCATTTCTTGGATGTGGATGCTTTGGACCCAGCTTTGTTGGCAAGGCCTATGCATTCCTTAGTCTCATCCTTCAGCTCCTTTGTCTTGTTGGCAGCTTCTTGGATGAGGGCCTTGGCATTCTCCAGGCTGTACTGGCTCCCTTTCAATTTCAAAAGCTTCTTGAGCTTCTCCGCCTTCACCTCCACTTCTTTCATCATAGCCTCATAATCCTTTCTGGTGGCTTTGGTGAGTCTGCCAGCCTTCTGGGCAGAGCCCACAGCTTCTTCCATGTTGGCAATGGCCAGGATGCACCCTTCTTTCGCTTTCTGTGCTTTTACCAAGCACTTGTTCCAAGCAGTTTTTTCATCTTCATCCTTGTCCTGTTTTTCCTTTTCTTCATCTTCACTATTGGTCAAGGCCAGCAATCCCTGGCCATTGCCCCTGGCCTTGCCACCTTTGCCAGCTCCTTTGTTGCCTTTGCTGGAGGAACTTTTCCCAGCTCCCTTGCTGCCATGCCCAATGTCATCCAGCAGGTGGTGTTGTCCTTTGGACCAATTCTTCATGAAGCCTTCTTCATGAAGATCAGAGGCTTCCACTTCAATGCCCATGCTATGGTTTCTTTTTCTGGTGACCTCAGTTTGTCCCTTGACATCATTCAAATCTTTGTAATTGTACACCCCTTCTGTGTAGGGGTCATTGCGCCACTGGATTCGACCACTTTGCACATGCAACTGGAACTCTTCAAGTCCAAATTCCTCCAACATTTGTTTTTCTGATTTCCATGTGTCGCCTTTTATCAAGGTTTGCTTGGTTCCAAATTGGGCAGTTGCATTGTAAAATTTTTTGCTTTGGTTTTCAACAAACCATAGCAAAGATGCCAGACCCTTTTGGGTCTTGTTCATCTCACTGTGCTCTTTCTGCGCTTCTTGATCAGTCTTCAGTGCAATTTGGTGTTTGGACCAAATTTGACCTCTCTCATTTGGGCTGATAGCTTCTTTGAGAACCTGAGCTGCCTCTTCTTTGGTCTCAGCTTCCTCTGTGATTTTTTCAACCTTCTCCTTCAAAGAGAGCTTCCCCAGCTGGGCTAACTTTGCTTTGGTCAAACTAGATTTCTTCGGTTTTGGGCCAGGTTTTGCAACTGTCTTCTGACCTTTCACCAAGGTCTGCTTTTCCTTTGGGCCTTTCATCAAGGTCTGCTTTGTTTTGGTGCCTTTCATCAGGGTCTGCTTTGTTTTGGGGCCTTTCATCAAGGTTTGCTTTTTGCTTGTTTGCTTGAGGATTCCTGCCTTCATTACCTTTTTGGGTGCCATTGCTTCTGCGAATTTTCACTACCCAGGTGACAAGCTTGAGCCCCAACAACAGGAAACATAAACACCATGGACTGTTTTCAAGGCTGCAGCTGTGAAACCGCAACTGGGGGAAAACATGGGCTGACCTTGGTTTGCACACCATACCATTGGAAAAAAACAAGAAATACATTCAAATGGCAAATATGAATTGACAAGAAAAGGGTCTAACCATTAGTCTTTCACCTTTCAAACTCTACAAAAGATTTGAGTTGTGTTTTTTTTAACCATTTAAAAAAAAATAGAGAAGAAAATAAGAAAAAAGTAAATTTGAAATTTGATGAAATTTGATGAAATTTGATGAAATTTGATGAAATTTGATGTTCATCAAATTTCATCAAATTTCATCAAATTTCATCAAATTTCATCAAATTTCATTTGTTTTTACATTTTTTTTCTTGGAGTAACACTTTTTTTTCAGGTAGAATTTTCTTCTGTGAATTGGCATTGCCATTATTGAACTATTGATTGAAGAAGGTTTCCTTTTATCAAGGCCCTTGATGTGATTAACAAAATGTTATTGTGGCCAACCCATTTGCTAAGAGAAGGCAGCTAGTTCCTTTGTCTCTGGAACAACTAGGTGGATTATAGTTTTTTCCTTCCCCATGTAACTCCTAGGATCAACATGAGATAGGGTGAAAAAAAAGCTTTGGCAACCTTTAGGTATATGGTTCCAAGAGAAAATAAATTCCAATCATTGCCCCCTAAATTTATTTGCCAAGGCAACACAACAATGAAACTATGAACCTAATGCCCATTAAGCCTTAATGTTGTGGTAGTGGGAGATATTTAACTTTTTTGGGGGGCACCCAAAACATATAAACAACATATATTTTATCACCTGGGGTTTAGGGGTGCTTGCCATTCCCATCCCACCAGCACTGTTTTGCAACCATCCCTGCAGTTGAGGGATTGCAGCTGCTGTTTGAAAAAAGACAGCCTCCTACACCCTGCCCTTTTAACAAGGACTGCAGCCCACTGCTATCTGTACAAAAGGTGTGGTGGCATTGTTTAAAGAAACCCTTTGAGCAAGGGTTGCTTGCTGGATTTCCCTTTTGTTTGGTTGCCATGAATCTGCCCTTTTATCAAGGGGTGATAGGTTTTTCTTTTTTTCTCATTTTTGCACCTTTTATTTGTCAAGGGGTATAGGCCCCTGCCCCATGTTCCCTTTCATTTATCAAGGGATCTCTTTGGCACTTTAGGCAGTGCCCCTTTCTTTTTCTTCTTTAAGGAACTGGTCCACAGCATGGGACAGGAACCTGTAGGCATAGGGCTTGCCAGCAGGAATGTTCTTCTCATTCCATTGGTGTTGCTCCCTTTTGGTTGTAATGGGATATACCCTGGCACCACCCATGAAGCACTCTTGGAGGACTAGGAAGCTGTCATCAAAGATCACTCCCCATTTTTGCTCCACCATAAATGAGAACTTGCCATTCTCTCCAGTTGGCTCTGGTGTTCTCACAAGGGAGCTCCATCCATCCCAGCAGCCTAGACTTTCTGGGTGGGCTTCCTCCCTCCATCTATTTTCTCCACAGAAGGAAAGGAGATGGACCCTGTACCCAGCTCTTTTGAGGGATTGCAGTGCCCTCACATTGGCAGGGTGGATTTCCCACCCCTTCTCCAGGACATTGTGATAGTCAATGCACACATCCCTTTGATCAAGGGATGCTTCTTTTCTCCTTTTATCAAGGAATGTTTCCTGGCCCCTTTCAGCAAGGGGTGTGGGATCCCTGAGGGGTGAAGCCCTGGACTTCTTGCTTGGCTGTGTGGAGGAAGATGCAGCTGCACTTTTTTGGACCCATTTTTTTGTTGTTCTTTCCACTTCTGCCTTGCTGGGCCCTAGCTGCAGCTTGACAGAGACACCTCTTCCCTTCTGATTGTCCCTTTTACTTCTGCAGTCCAGGTCATCATCTGAGCTTTCCACCTCCAATTTGGTTTCCCTTTTCTCAAGGGCTTCTGCTTTCTCTGTTTCATTTCTGTCTTCCTTGAGCATGTCATCACCTCCTGTTTTGTTTTGGTCTGTCTTCTCTTCCAGCCTTTCAGCAAGGCTTAGCTTTTCTACCCTTTGAGCAAGGGTTGGCTCTGGAGGCTCTTCCTTCTTGGTCTCTTCCTTCTTGACCTCTTTTTCTTTTTTCTCTGCTGCATTTTTTTTCTCCTCCTCCTCCTTCTTAGCAGCAAGTTCATCTTCTGCTTTTTTTTCTTCTCTTCCTCTGCTGTTCTGGCTGCAGCAGCTTCATCTTCTGCTGCTTTTTTTTCTCTTCCTCTGCTGCCCTGGCTGCAGCAACTTCATCTTCTGCAGCCTTTTTTTGCATCTCCTCCTCCTCAGCTCTTTCTCTGGCAATTCTCTTTGCCTCACCTCTCTGCCTATACAGCTCTCTTCTTTTGTGAGAAACTGTGCCTGTCCCTGAAGGCCTTCCTTTGTTGTTTCTCTGCTTTGCCAGTGGGTGAGCTGATGAAGCTCCAGTTTTCCAGTGCCCTGGCATCTCCTCTTCCTCCACTTCTACTTCCTCCATTTCTTCCTCCTCCCAGTCCTGCCAGGTATCCTGCCAGGACCTATCCTGCCAGCCATGGCTTGACCAGTCATGCCAGCCATGCCAATCCCAGCCCTGGCCCCAGTCTTGCCAGTCAGACCATGACCAGCTTGACATCCCTTTTATTTGGCAAGGGGTGCCAGCTACCCTTTGATCAAGGGATGCTTTTGTCCCCTTTCAACAAGGGGGTGTTTTACAAATTTCTTTCTTTTTGGGCGAAACCAAGTAGGTGAGCGAATTGGGATTTTTGCTTTCTAGTATTGAGCCAAAAGGGTTGCTGAGAACACCACATGGAATGTCTTTTTCTTGTGGCTAAAAAACACATGCCACTAGCCAGTTACCATGGGCATGTCTTGCACCCACCAGCTGAAATTAATTTACCCTTGGCAGAGGTTGTGGAACAACAAAATTATTAATGGGTTTCACCAAGACCTTATTGATTGAAGTTCAACCAAGGTTAACCACCCCCAAAACATATTGTACTGAAGGTTGATATGAATGGTTTACAACCATACCAACTGATTGATTTAGCCATGGTTACCCCACCCTAAAAAAATATTTTTTAGTAAGGGTTTACCCATGCTAACCCCAAAAAATGTTACTTGTTAAGAGGCAGCCAATTAATCAGTTTCCCCAAAAAACATATTTGTGGTGTTCTTAGGGGTCCACTTTCAGCCCCCCCTTCAACTTTAGCTCTTTTTCACCGACCTACCCTACTAGTCTGCTGTTTATATGCTGCAGCTGGTCCTTGTGTTAAGGAATGCTGCTGCTTCTTGTCTTTTTATCAAAGACTGTTGCTCCTGCATGTCCTTTTATCAAGGAGTGTTGCTTGTATTGTTACTTTTAACAAGGGTTGTCTTCTTTCTGGCCTTTTATCAAGAATTATTGTTCCTACTGGTCCTTTCATCAAGGATTGTTGTTCCTACAGTTCCTTTTAGCAAGGCTTGTTGTTGCAACCTTTCAGCAAGGTTTGCAATTCACATGGTGGAGCTCGACTTTTCCTACCTTTTTTCATATTGGGTCCCTCCTGTCCCTGGCAGCAAGGGCTGTTTCTTGAAAGCAAGCTGGTCCTTTCAACAAGGACTTGTGTCATCTTGTCAGCACAGCTCAGACCTCAGTTGCAAGGCTTCTGCTTTGCTCAAGTTGTCATCCTTCAATCTCTCATAAATTGTGTTGATGACCTTTTTGTACTGTGCTGACCTGATACTGCTCACTTCCACAATGAGCTTGCACTTTCCTCCAATCTCCTGGGTGCCTGTGATGTAGCCCCTTTGTGGCTTCCTGGCAAACACTATTCTCAACTTCTTCCATGGAAGCTTTGCACTTTCACCAAGTGCTGCTGCAGGTTTTTTCACTTGCATGCCTTTGCCAGAGGATGCTGGTTTCTTCATGGGGCTGTCTTGTTTTACCTTTTTTGCTCTTGTTTTTTTCTTGCAATCTTTGCTTTTCGATGTGAACACCATGGCTTTTGCCAAATTTGGTGAATGGCTTTCTGCTGGTTGAGAGGCCCCAGGAGAGAAAACACTTGAGCCTTTTCTCCTTCTGAGGAAGCTTGGGGATGGGGAATCCTTAGCAGATGAAGCATGGCCTTTCAACAAGGGGTTTTCACTACCTTTTACCAAGGTTTGATTCTCACCTTTTACCAAGGTGTCTTGTTGACCTGTGCCCTTCCCCTTTTGGACTGGGCTGTTGAACCTGGGATAACCTTCTGAGTCCAGGCTCACATCACTCACATTCTTTTTCAGTGCCCTTTTCTTTGGTGCATCTTCTTCAGGCTCAAATTGGATGAGGTCTATGACCTCCTGCAGCTGCATGAGGTCCCTTGAAGTGAGCTTGGCAGCAGCTTTTCTCACCTCATCAGAAGACTTCAATCTTCTCATGTGCAGCAGAAGCACCCCTATTCGCTCACATCTGATGTTTGCCCAGACTGTTCCATTCCATTTGCTTGTGTTGACACTGGGGTTGTGGCACACTACTCTGAGCAGAGCGGCCCTGAGAGGGTTGGTATGGATTTCTGCACTTGGTGGGACTTTTATCAAGTCTTTCACCAATGGTAAAACTTGGACCAGACCCTTTGGATCTATGCTCTGATTTCTAGAAATTGTGTCATACAGTCCAAATTCTGGAAGCATGTCTTCATGCTTGCTGAGGGCTTGGAAGAGGAGCCCTGGGTCGATGAAAGATTTCACAAAATTTCTGGCACCACCTTTGCCACCCATCCTTTCAACAAGGATTGCTTGAACTGTGCCACCTTTGAACAATTATGCAAACACCAAAAGCTGAAAGCCAAAAAGCTGCAGGCTGCCAACCATGGAAATTCAATTAGAAATTCAATTAGAAATTCAATTAGAAATTCAATTTTACAATCAATTACTTGCCCACTTAGAAATTCATAATTTAGCTGGAAAAAAATCAATTAGCAAATCAATATCATTTGGGCATACAAATTGACTTTTTTTCAATTAGGCAAATATTGAAAATATCAATAAAAACCATGTAAATCAAGGTCAATAGAAAAAGTGATGAGTTAATTGAATAGGATCAATTGTCGATGCTCAGGGTAGGGACATTGATGTACTTGGCTTCTCGGCCGGATCGTACACTGGACTGGCAATTCACAAAATTCTGAATGAATTTGACTGCTTCCCAGGTACCACTAAGGTAGCAGCAATTGCCACTCCGCCTGAAATGATGAGGCTGGCCACTGGAGAACGCAAAGTAGTGCTCCTGCACTGTCTTGAAGACCGACTCTGTGTGTGGCATCCTGACACTCTCACTGACCTTAGTTATAACATCATACTCATTGACGGACAACCATCCTGGAGTGGACGTGCCCGGCATGCATATGGCCACCTCTTGTTTACTCCAATTGAAGAAGGCACCCATCATATTGATTACCTCCAAATTACGACCCCGGAAGTCATACCGCATGGGATACGATGTGAAGGGCTCTTACGAGTGCTCTCATGGGTCAGCTTTGATCTCCCTGATCATTGCAAACGCACCTTAAGTTCACTCCTCCAGGCTGCTGGCGGTGGATGCCCTGATCTGCATATGGTACTATGTGACGGCGGAGATGTAAGGGATGACCCCCTTGCTACGGAGCAGGACTTGCGACAAGTCTTAATTGATATGATCCCCATCCCTGGACAGGCGCATGCGGAAGGAGGAGAATTCATGCGGAATTTGTTAGCTGAATTCCTCCGTGGTTTTTCTCTGCGCACCTTGATATTCCTGCTTGATATGGTGTTGCCTCAATTGGACGCCTACCATGCTGGTCGTCAGCTCCAGCACCTACAACCCTGGACCAGCGTTGTGCTGGCGCAACGACAAGAGCGAGGTCAACCGGGAGTCGAGCTTGTGGTCCGATATGGCTATGAGGCCTTTGCTGGTTTTCATGTGGTGCATTTGCTCACAGACGGTATTCCTCTTTTGCTCTTTAGCGACCCGAAAGCGGTTCCTTCCGTGTCGCCATGGAATCTATGTGTAAATGGCAACCTAGGAAGCATGGAAGCCAATGTTATGGCAGGTAGAGCACTTTTTGGACGCTTCCAGCTCCCTGACGGCCCGCGTCGCTGTGCCATTTTCCTGGTCCAAGAAAAAGTGATGCAAGGTACCAGTCGATCCGCGGATTCTCGTGCGTATCGACGAATTGCACCGAAGTCACTTGAGCTAGTAGTAGTCTCCAGGCCTGTCGCATTTGCCTTCTGTGGTCGCCTTTTGGTGCAACAGCCAGCTGAGGTGGAATATTTTGACCCAGGCCGAGATTGGCCGCAGCCTATAGTATTCCATGCAAATTTCTCGGTGCTGATGGAAGAAATGGCTTTCCTTGGTGACACACGAAGCCGATGCGAATTACTGGTGTTTGCACAGGCCAACCCGGCGCGACTCCCACTGACAATGGGCATTCTCCAACCTGATATTCCGGTTAGAAGGATGATGAGTGAACGCAGGACAAAACTGACAGATGCATTGGTCCGAGTGCTCTGTCGCCTATTGACACCCATCGGGGTTGCTCTTACAGGGCCACATGATGACTACATGCGTGACAGCCTACTCTCCCTGGCAGGGCATGGAGATGGGCATGTCCTCACTGTGGCAGTAGCCTTGCTGCTGGCGATCCTGACTGGCCGTTCTGACCTCTGTATCGCAGGCGTTTTTGGTGCTGGGAAGACTCGCTCTCTGGCAGTTTTGTTAATCGCCCTCAGCTGCGAACTTAGTGACTTCTATGCAATTGTTTACACCAAAGAAAACGTCGCTGCGAAAGCTCTAGCTGACCAGATCAGTGACCTTTCCCCACCTACGCAATCCGCTTTTGGACGCTTACTGGGCCGCATCGAGGAAGGAAAGGGCGAAGCTTATGCAACAAAAATTGACGTTCGATGCAGTGATCGCAATAGAGTCATTGCTGAGAAACGCATTCTGATTGCGACTGGAGGCTCCGCTACTGCGGAAATGGCCATGAAATATTCCTCATTTAGTCTATGGCTCTCCAAGGTGTGGCTGGCATCTATGGATGAAAGCCAACAGTACGGCAACTACCATGAGATTGCCGCACTGGCTGCCATCCAGCAACCGGCATTGATTGTTTTTGTTGGTGACCATAGGCAAACACCTGGAGGCCTATCCAAGGGAAGGGCTGCAGCAGCAAATAGGCAGAAGCTTCTCCATCGTCCACTTGGACTACGAGCTCTGAATCGCCCTGGAGATTATCTGCCCCCTGCTCGGCTCACTAAGCTGATTGCCCTCCTCTGGCCGGATGCGAGCCAGGATAATGACTCTGAAGTGGCGTGGCTGCTCAACCTTGGCCAAGCACCACATACAGGAATTTGGACTCCCGCAAAAACTGCCCAGCACCTGCCAACATCACTGGCGCGTCTTTTCAGTGAGGAAACGCTCAGCCACCTGAATGTCAAAAGTTGCCTGATTTCTGCAATCCTAGCTGTCCTGCTTATTGCTACTGCTCCAGAAGAGTTTGGCATCCCTGAGTGTACAACTACGGTGGAAGCAGCCGGCTTAGATGGCCCACACAGGTGGGGCATCATTCTGCCCAACAGCTCCAGAGTGTCCCTGTTGACGTACAAAGCCATCGTCGCAGTTAGGTACCCGGAACTAGTGCTACATGATCAGGATCCCATCCAAATCGGCCATTTTGTCCCCCACGACCACACTGCCGAGCATGGAGGTTTCCGTACAGTGCTCTGGGAAGTACCCAGAGCTCCCAGAGACCTCATGGCTGCTATTGAGGATGTCGTAGTGTTTCTCAACTACCTTCAAAAGTGCTATCGGGACCTCAATCAAGGAGCGACTGCGCAGCTCCTGGTGATGTGTAATCGCACGGCAGTGCATACCCAACTCCTACAGCATGGGTTTCAGGCCGCTTGGTTTGGAGGACTTAGAATAGCCACAACCTCGTCTGCAGCAGGGGTTGTTCAGACAGGGTGTGGCTTCCTCAGCGGGGGCCGTCGGCCTCGATGGAAGACAAGGAAGACTGTTTTGGACGAGCTACTGTTGCGCTCACAAGAGCCATTAAACATACGTACATTGTCTCTCCCATTGATATGGCTGGACTGATCGGGATGGCTCAGACGCTTGCGGTCTATCACTATGGGTATTACACCCTCAAAGATAGGTCTGTTCAGTTTCATGAGCCCAAGCGCATACCATCGGACGCAGAAGCGGTCCTGGAGTGGGGACTTAATACACCTTTTAATTCACAAGACAAACCGCCCCTTGCCATTGCTATGGTAGTGACATTGAATGGAGTGCGATCCCTGAGAAGGTATCGGCTGGTCATTGCGCAGAAATCAAAGCTGCGGCTTACGCAGGAAGTCACCGCAGCCTTAGCCTCCCACAGTCGTGACCACCGCCTCACGGTGAGTAGTTTCTTTCCGTGCTCTATCGATAGGGAATACCTGTATGGCTATGCCGGCGATGGCTATCGCTCTCCACTGTGGCTATGTGCTTTCCACAATGGCTCTCCGGTTCTTGTCCACAGGCTCAGGGGAAGCAAGATGTATTTTCATCAAGCCACCAAAGACCGGCGGATATTACTCATACCAGGTATCCACTTCTTTGATGCTCACCGACTGCAACCACTGCTACTGCAAGCTCCTGCGCTGCAAGTACACATGAGAGAGAGCCCCATGGTTGGCCCTGAAGGGGCTGGCGAGACAGTGGATGATCCCTCGTCGGAGGAAGAGCGAGCCACTACTGATGGTGAATCTGAGGTAGAGGAAGAAGCCGACGAAGCGGACATACATCCTGAAGAGCCATGGTGCCCGCCAATCCCACCAGCACTTGATGACCCTTCGGAAATGGAAATCAAAGGAGCAGCTGACAAGCTGGCAACCATGATGAACAGTTCACAGCCGCAAGCCAACGTCTTCTTCCAGCCTGACAACCTTGGCGCTCTTCCACACCTGTGGCTGCAGGCCAAGCTTACCATCTCCCTGACGGCCATGCAGGAAAAGTTTGCCCGCCTTTTCATGTCAATTGCGTCAGAACTGTGGCTGAGGGATGCGATCGATACTGTTGAGGAGGTATTTGCACATGTCGCCCGTAGTTTCACGCTCCGGCTGGCCGAAACACTTTCGCAGTATATATGCTCGCTCACTCGGCGAGCAGAGTCTCTGGCTACCCCAGAGACGGAATGCCTGCTGTATGCCACGTTTTGGTTTCGTCCAATTCTCTCTGAGCTAATTGGAGCAGCCAAAGAGAGTGCAGAAGTGAACCGAAAACGTGCCCCCAGTGGACCTGTGAAAGTTGTCATCACCAACCTTAAGAAAAAAATTTTCTGCTAATATTGAGAGCCTTAACATAGGCAAAAAGTTGGGCCTTTGGTAAAAATAAAAAGGGTCCAAGGTCCAATAAAAAGTCC